TCTCTCTGTCTCTCTGTCTCTCTCTCTCTCTCTCTCTCTCTCTCTCTCTCTCACACACACACACACACACACACACACACACAGAGAACTACAATAAAGTTAGGGTATTTCCTCTCCCTCCATGTTTGTCCTCCAGGTCCAAGGCAGCCATTAAAATATATTTATGACCATCTTTGAATACAATTAGAGAACTTAGTATTTTCATGTACAAAGACCTATTTTAATTTTAATATTTTACTTTTGCAGAAACTTTGCTTTAAGATGTTATTTTATTTTATTTTTTATTGATTTTTAAAAAAATAAATGACAGCAGAATGTATTACAATTCTTATTACACATATACAGCACAATTTTTCATATCTCTGATTAAGATGTTATTTTTAAAAGTATATATATGTGTGTATGTGTGTATGTATGTGAGTGTGTGTGTGTATATATATATATATGTATATATATATATATATGTATATATATGAATGATTTCTATCCAGTTAGCACATGAGAGTCTCTGTTTAAATTCTGTCCATCCTCCCATCCATCCAGCATTCATTGAGCAGAGTTTAGGCTCAACGAAAATCACATTTGGAAACTCCAACCCCCAGTGAGGTGGGCCCTTGAGGAGGGGATTAGGTTTAGACTACATCGGGAGGGTGGGACCCTCATGATAGGATTAGAGGATTTATAAAAAAAGGAAAAGCACCATTGGCACACACTGAAGAAAGGCCAGGTGAGGACACAGCAAGAAGGAGGACATGTAGCCAGGCATGGTGGTGCATACCTATAATCCTCAGGCTTGGGAGACTGAGGCTGGAGATCAAAAGTTTAAAGCCAGCCTCAGCAATTTAGCAAGGTCCTATGCAACTTAGCAAGACTCTGTCTCAGAATGAAAAATGAAAAGGGCTGGGATGTGGCTCTATTGTTAAGTGCCTCTGGGTTCAATCCCTAGTACCCCACCCCCAACCCGACACCCCCCACCCGCCAAAAAACAAAAGGAAAAAAGGCAGCCATCTGCAATCCAGGGAGCTGGGCTTCCTCAAATGCTGAATCTGCCTATATCTTGATCTAGGATTCCCCAGACTCCAGGACTGTGAGGAATACATGTCTATTGTTTCTGCTACCCAGTCTATGGTATTTTGTTATAGCAGCCCCAGCTAAGGCTAGCATCTACCATATCTTGATCTTAGACGATAAGTCCTTCGAGGACATGGAATCTGTTGACTCAAGTTTTTGTGCAGTCACATCTGTCACAGCACTGCGCTCCACTAGTAAATACTTTTTGGTGGAGGAGGGGAGGAGGGAGATTGTGACTGAAAATATGCCTGTGAGGCCATCTGAATTAATAATTATCATCAAGTTATAGTTACTATGTTTATTGTTTATAACATCAAATTATTTTTGTTAGTATTACAACAGATCCTTGCATTGTGCTTTCTGTGTTTTAGGACCTAAGTGTTTTTACATAAATGGTGAAGCAACTTGTTGCTTGAAAGGCTTTTACAGGCTGAAATATAAATAGATTAAAGAAAGTTTCAAATAAATTCCTGGAGGGTAGATCTACAAGAAGTTATTAAAGTGGAGTTAGGGATAATCAGGGTGCATTCCTAACCAATGAGAGTGATGTCATGAAGAGCAAGTGCCATAATCCAGCCCAAACCATCTTAGTGGCCCTGTCTGAGGCAGAAACTCAAGTAGACAGAAGTCACAGCTGACCTGTGCACCACTAAGGAGTTACTAGATTCAAGCAGGAACCTCTGAGCTTCCAATCCTCAGTGAGCTGGCTGAATGTTGTCTTCTCCCACCCACTGCCCATCCTCCCCTTCTGTCAGGGAAGAGCTTGTGTCCCACCACCCAGTATCTCTCCCTCCACAAAAGCAGTTCTTTGCTTTGTGTCACACAGTGAGTCACCGGGCATTGTTGGGAACAGACCCAGGATTGCTGCTCTTTTGATTGCCGGGGCTGTTTGCTAGAGATCACAATCCTTCCACATTAGTAGCCAGTTACATTTATGGCTCTTAATGACATTTAATGGGACTTCTGGGTTGGGGAAATGCTGGGGAGTGAAGACTGGGAGATAAAAAATCAAAACCTGCAGTGACACACAAGGCCTTTATTACTGATGATTTAAAAATGGCAATGGACTTCTGAGTGTCATTCCACTGGGAAAATGATTCTTAGGTCTGAGAAGGAACAGTCCCCTTGCCTGTCTGGAAACTGGATAGAAGAGAGAAGGAAAGGGGAAGATCAAACAGACAGCAGTCCTCAAAAGTCACATTCTCCAAGTCTTCCCTATGGTTTCAGAACCCTCCTGCCATTCATATACATGATAGTTTACCATGCACATTTGTCATATACATGATAGTTTACCATATACATGATAGTTTACCATGCACATTTATGCTAACTGTCCTGAGTCGTATGACAGGGCTGTGTATGATCCATGTTAAAAAGAAGTGGGCTGAGCCAGGCACGGTGGCATACACCTGTAATCCCAGTGGCTGGGGAGGCTGAGGCAGGAGGATCATAAGTTCAAAGCCAGCTTCAGCAACAGTGAGGCACTAAGCAACTCAGTGAGACTGTGTCTCTAAATAAAATACAGAATAGGGCTGGGGATGCGGCTCAGTGGTCGAGTGCCCCTGAGTTCAATCCCCATGGCAGAAAAGAAAAGAAAAGAAAAGAAAAAAGGTGGAAGTCAATTGACTAGGACCTTCTACCACTACCAGCCCATGAGACTTCAGGCAGGACACCTCACCTGGACCTTAGTTCTTTAGATACAAAACAGAAACAGGAGCTGCTCTGGTTAGCCTGAGGGTAGCTTCCATCTGTGTATCCATCCACAACCCAGTCAGAGAAGGTGCTGCAACCACAGATATCTCCCCACCAAACACCTGAGGTCACCTGTAGTTGTCTCTAATTCCTAAGGAACACACACACAGTGGCCACAGACACCTGAAAACCTGGCAGAACAAGAAAGAACAATGGGCAGCTGGGTACTGTGATGCATGCCTGTAATACCAGCAGCTTGAAAGGCTAAGGCAGGAGGGTCGCAAGTTCAAAGCCTGCTTCAGTAAACCAAGGTGCTAAGCAACTCAGTGAGACGGTGTCTCTAAATAAAATACAAAATAGGGCTGGGGATGTGGCTCAGTGGTCAAGTGCCCCTGATTTCAATCCCCAGTACCCCTCCTCCCCACCAAAAAATGAAAGACCACATGCTTCCATTACACCAGGTGCAGGAGCAGGCAGACACAGGGAGTCTGGTGGTGATTGGAAACTGGGAGGGGACAGGTATCAATTCTAAATGTCCCCAGGGGTAACTTGGAGGGCAGAAGCTGTTCTTGGTGCACCTGGCATGTGAGGCCTGAAGATGGGGCAGTGATATTTAGCCAAAGACCAATAATGATTGTCAGAGATACAAGTGTCAGCTGCTTGCCCACTTGGCTCTGTTTGGAGTACACAGATTCACCATTTTGCTCAAAACTCTAAGAAGCTGTTATTGTCTCTAATTTGTTTTTGGCATGAACATGCTGTTCCAATAAGAAATTGACCATTGTTTTAGAGTAGAAAGGGGATTGTGATAGAAGAGAAACAAGGTAATTCTTCTGGCCACTGGTTTCCAGAAAGGAATTGGTCAAGGGTAGATGTGACAGGGCTGGGACTGGGACAATGAGCCAACCTTAACCCCCAAAATGTGGGCTTCAGATTCTGGTTGACCTAGGAATGACTTTCAGCTTGCCATTCATTAGCTGTGTGATCTAGAGAAACTTAATCTTACTGTGTGGCAATTTCTTTCCTCATCTGTAAAATGGGAACCATAGTTCCTACCTCTGAGGGGAGATATATAAGGATTAAATGAGAAGGGGAAGAAAGATAATGAAAATATCTGACAAACAGTAGCTTCAGTAAATTGTTAGGTAACTGTGAGGATATTTTGATAGTACGAAACTACCAAGTAATACAGGGATCTTGCCCTCTGGGAGCTTCCAAAAGCAACATTAGTGAAGGAATGTTTGAAGACCAGTCCAGGAATTTAACACCCTGTGAAGTTAAATGACTGTTTTCAGATCACACGATATCACAGTTTGAACAAAATTAATACAGTAATGTTGCTGAAAGCTCAATCTTTGTCCTCGATGCCAATTCAGATAAAAGAAGGTTTATTGCTTAGCTAGCAAAGAAGACTCATAGGGGACTCCTGTCCCAAAGGAGTGACAGTGCCCATCAGCAAAAACATAGGGTTTTAAAGAGGTGACTCAAAGGCCTCATTCCACCTGTTCTCTGTAGGAGTTATAATTCACTTGTTAATTTAGAAGATAGTCATTTCTGAGATCTTTTGGTACCATCCCCAAAGTCTGGATTACTTCACTCGTGGTGGGTGTGCTGAGGACAAATAACTCTTCCTAAAATGGGGAAGAAAGGTGATACTGTTTCCCTGAGATTAGAGAAGGGGAGAGATAAGGAAGGAGCAGGGAGAGAGGAAGAGAAAGAGGCAGGTTCATTTTAAAAATAAGATGCAAAAACAAAAATAATTTGCAATGGCAGAACAGTAAGGGCCCTATTCAAAGACTAAAGTGGACCACTGTTATAGTAATAAATGCGTCTAGTCAGACCAAGTTAATGGGTTAAATAAATTTAAACCACAGCATGTCTCTACAAGCGGAAGCATAAGCATAAGCTCAGAGCCTGTAGAAAAGAGGAAAGGAGTCAAGAGCCACAGAAAATTCTTCCTGACTCTTGGGTCAGGAGCACAGAGTAATTGAGGTTAATCAAGGAGGGCTTCTGGGAGGAGGTTCGGGAACGTCCAAGGAGCCTTCAATGAGATCCAGTTACTCCATCACCATCTCAATTGTCAGAAGTCCTTAGTACAAAGGAAAATAAGAGAGGGTCTGAATCTAAGGTGGGTGAGGGGCGATCCCAGTCGTGGTTCCTTTAAGACATCGAAACTCCTTGAACATTCTACCTTCAGTTCTGCGGCCTCCCCGAGACGCGCTTACGTCACCTTTCGGGGAAGAGGCTGACGTCAGCGCGTTCTCCAGCGCTTGGGGGCGGGGTCGATGACTCACCGGGCTGCGCCCCTTGCCCCCGCCCCTCCCGGCTGCGCGCACGTGAGCGAGCACTACGCTGGTTTCTAAATTTAGTCCCGGCGGCTTCCCTGGGGTCGCCTGAGGTAAACGCGGGCAAGGGGTTGCGGCGGGCGAGAGAAGCAGTTCTCGTTGTCCCTTCTTGTCCCTCCGTGGGTCCTCCTTCAGGATGGGGGTCCGGCCCGGGGTAGGAGGCCCGCGGGAACTCTTGGTGCTAGAAGGGGGCGTTTCCCGAGGCGCGAACCGAGGGGGTCCCCTCCGCGTGTCAGCCCAGCCCCTCGCGCGGCCTTGCCCTGGACGGGCGCCATTGAACCGAGGTTTCTTCTTGGAGGGCCATTTGGGGGGCGGCGTGGGCCGAAATCACTAGGGGAGCGGTACTTGGGTCGGAGGGAGCCCGGCGGGCTGTCGATGGCCGACGTGGAGGGGGAGGTCGCGACACTGGACCTCAGAGAACACGCTCCCGAGGCCGAGGCGGCGTGGCTTTGGGAGCGATATCGCTTCCGCGCTGTGAAAGACGAGGGCCTTCCAGCCTCGGGCCAAGCACCGGGAGGGACCTGAAGGTCACTGGGTGAGGGGCCAGCGCAGGTGCCTCAAAACCCAGGGCAGAGCCTAACGCATACCAGGGTGACCTTCCAGGAGCCAAAGGAAAGCTTCGTGTCCCCCCCCCCCCCAATAAATTGGTGCCAAACAACTTTTGAAATCCACATTCTCCACTTCTTTGGGTGGCGGGACAGAAGTTCTGGAAATAAGCCCTGTTAGCGTAAAATGAGCTGCAGTTTTGACTTTGAAAAGTGATCTGACTTGTCACAGTGACCTCACTTCTGTTGTTAGGGTGGTATCCTCAGGTTTCGACTTCATTAGGTGGAAAGTCCAAGATAATGATAAACCCCGAATATTAAATGTTAATGTGGGACAATTTCTAATGGTTGGGTTGTTAAGTTTTCTTTCTCTCTCTCTTTTTAAGGAAACTGTGATAAGTTAGATGTGGAGTAAAGATAGCCTTGGTCTTTTATATCCTGCATTGTCTTCCTTAACTCATTCAGCTCTTTATTTGTATCCTCTTTGAATTCATTGGTCATTTTTAACATTCTTTTGAATGTTCTTTGACATTTCATCTACCTTAATATCTTTGCAATCAGTTACTAGAGAGTTTACGAACTTTTGGAGAGCCATATTACTTTGTTTTTTTATATTTCTTTTATTTGTTTTTTGAGATTTGCCCATGTTGGGGGATGTATGTGTATTTTCTACTTTTGTGGGAGGGCCTTCTTGAGAAATAGCCTTCTCTTAATGATGTGCCCAGGGCTGTTAGTTTATTGTGTAATGTTAAATTTAATTCCGGATGGACTTAGTGTAGTTTGCCTCTTGTTTCTGGATGTGATTGATGAGTTTTGACACAAGTGTGTAGTGTGTTGGAGCCTAAGAAACCTGTATCCTCTGGAGGTCTTAGTTGAGGCAGATGTGTTGTAATTGGTAAATCTGTGGTTACGACTTCAGTCTTATCAACTTAGTTCTGTCTGCAAGGTATAGGAACAGCCTATGCTGAAGTTCTTTGTAGTGTGGTTTCTGCCCCAGTTGTACTACTTCTTTCTCATGTTACTATGGGATCAGATGTCAGGAGCAGAACTTCAGGACCCGGTCAGCCATGTTTTTTTGAAAGTAGGTCCATGGCAGTAGGATTTTTTCTCCCCTATTCTTAGAGTTGAAGTATTCAGCAAGGTTTGAGTGGTACCAGATTGTGGCTGAAGTAAAGTACACTTTTTCTTGCCTTGCTAATGGAAAAGTACCCATTTAATACATGGAAGCTACCAGGCTTGATCCAGACTCCACTCAAAAGGAAGAAAAACATAAAAACAAACTAGATATGGAAATATAATAAAAACCAATTAAATCACACTACTAATAATAATAGAAAAGAAAGGGGAAATATTATAGAATAAACTGAAAAGGGAAATGTTAATGAAAATTAAAAAAAAAATAAATGAGACAGTAGAAGAGGGGAGAGGATCCTATTATGCTATAATAAAAAAGGTTAAAAATAAGGAAAAGGTACCATTAAAAATAATAATAGATGGGGGGAAAAAGCCAAGAATTCCTTCTAGTTCAAATGATCTAATTGGAAACACTTTCTGAGCAGGTATACTCTCTCCCCAGAGCCCCTTAGTCTTTGTGCCCAGTACATGGTCAGTGTCTGGGCCATAGCCATCCTTTCTCCAGCAAAGATTTCATATTTTGTGGGTTTTGCCCAGGTGGGCATAAATTTAGCCCAGCTGACTGCAGTCTGTTTACCTGAGGGTGTGGCAAGTATTCAAGCCAGGATGCCTCTGGGTGTGAGGGGAGAGAATAAACCCAGCAAAATCTGCATGGGAGTGGGAGGCACTCCAGGAACTGTGCATTTTACCACCCTCAGTCTGGATGCATTCAGGCCTGGGTCCGTCCTTCCTAACAATACTTGAAAGTAGTCTTGCTTTTTATAGAGGACACCAGTCACTGTGTTCTGCTGTCTGCCTCAGTCTGCTTCCCGCTACTCAAACCACTCAGCAGGCTTGTGCCAGCTATGGCTGGTCTCACACTCAGTCAGTGTGGCAGGGTGTCCACAGGGACCCTGAACTGTGATTGCTTCAAGTTTTCTGCGCCTCAGAGCAGTTTGGTCCCTAACAATTGGATCCTACTTATGATGGCTTTTGGTTAAAGCACTCTTGAGAATTGCTGAAATGAATTGACTTCTCTAAAACTATCTTGCTATGCAGGAGGGGAAACTCAGTTCAGATACCCAAATTGGATTTATTTATTTGTATTTTATCCCAGATTATTTTTTTTATTTGTTCTTTTTAGATATACAGGACGATAGGGTGTATTTTGACTATATATACATGGAGTATAACTTCCCATTCTTGAGGTTTTACATGATATGGACTTAACACTGGTCATGTATTCATATATGAACATTGGAAAGTTATGTCTGACTCATTCTGCTGTCTTTCCTGTTCCCATCCTTCCTTCCTTTCCTTCATTCCCTTTTGTCTAATCCAATGAACTTCTATCCTCCTTCACCCCCGTATAAATTTGTGTTACCACCGGCATATCAGAGAGAACATGCGGCCTTTGGTTTTTTTAGGATTGGCTTATTGCGCTTAGCATGACAGTCTCCAGTTCTGTCCATCTACCGGCTGATGCCATAATTTCATTCTCCTTTATGGCTGAGTAATATTCCATTGTATATACATACTACATTTTCTTTATACATTCATTTTTTGAAGGGCACTTAGGTTGGTTCCATAGCTATTGTGAATTGAGCTGCTATAAACATTGATGTGACTGCATCACTATAGTATGCTGATTTTAAATCCTTGGATATATACCAAGGAGTGGGATAACTGGGTCCTGAACTGGATCTAGAATTTGTATGAACTGTGGATTTCTCTTTCAGTTAGAACTTCCAATCTAAAGTTTCAATCAGGATTGATTGTACCCTCTGGCTTACCTTATGTTTGTAGTGTCATTCCCTCACTGGGGAGCCAAACCATTGTGACCTGTGTTGTGCTTTTCTCTACGTTCCCTTTCCAATTCTCCATGCTGTTTAGGTTTCCCCTTACTTCTTTATTACTTCTCAGAGTTTTCCTTTCTTTTTCAGAATACAGTATTTGCTTTGTTGTTCTGACTTTTCCCACTTGGAGAGTTGTGAAAAGGAAACATTTTATCCACCATCTTGTCTCTTCTCTTTCTTCACGGAGGTAAAAATTCCAGTATCTCTGACACTTCTATGAATAAGACTGGTTGGTAATTCTGTGGATAAAACTGGTTGGTAAATGGGTTGTTTGCATTTGAAACAGAATCAATTTCTGCACAATGATACCTCCCTGCCTATCCTGAAATTGAAGGGTGCACAATGAAGAGATTGTACTTACCCTTTCTTAGAAGTTATTGATGTAAAGGGAGGGAGATCTTTATCATAAAGCTTTAGTAGCCAGAGCTCTCAGCAAAATGAAATTGAAACTACTCTCAATTTTATAAAAGGCTAATGACAGCAAAGTATGTTGTCATTTTTTGACACATACCTTGAGATTTAGTTTTGAAAATATATAGTATGTTAAAGTGGTTAATATTTTCATTGAACTTAGTACTTCTACAAAATCTTTTATCAGAAGGTTTCTATTTTTTTATCCACCAAGTTTAATTAATTGAATCAAGAAAGTAGAGGTGTATATTTGGAAAGTTTTTTTAAACAAGATTTTAATTAGTGTTTTATTAAGCATTCCATCTAAATTTTCCCACATAGAAAATTGTGTGGGGTGATAAAAATCAGAAATAGATTTCTTGGAAATATGAAAGTAGAGGAAAAGAAAAAATAAAGGACATTTTCCCATTGACCAGGGTATTCTGCCAATTCCTGTTCACATTAATATTTTCCTCATCAAGTATACATCTTTTTTTTTTTTTTAATGATACTAAGGATTGAACCCAGGGCTGCTTGACCACTGGGTCAATATCCCCAGCCCTTTTTAAATTTTGAGAACAAGGTCTTGCTAAGTTACTGAGACTTTTTGAACCTACAGTCCTCCTGCCTCAGGATCCTGAGTTGTTGGGATTATCACCAGAACCACTATACCTAGCCTCCAAGTATTCATCTTTAGGCCCAATTTTACCTGGATTTTCCCCCCCTCAAAATAGAGTCTTATAATGATAACAACAGCTTTCAGTTGTTGAGCACCATGTATCGGACCCTGTGCTCAATGCTTTACATAATTAATTTTTTTTCTCTATGTTATGTAATTTTATAGGTTCAGGGAGGTTAACCGAGTTGGCTAAGGTCACACAGTTATTAAGAAACACAACTGAGAAGAGAGCAACTAAGAACAGAACAGGGAGGAAGAACATAAGGAAAAGATTAACATTAAAAAAGACGAGTGGGGGGAGAGAAAGGGAGAGAGAAGGGAAAGCATATGGAAATGGTAGGAGACCCTCAATGTTACACAAAATTACATAGAAGAGGATGTGAGGGGAAAGGGGGGGCAAACAAGGGAGAGAATTGAACAACAGCAGATGAGGTAGAGAGGGATGATGGGTGGGGAGGGGAGGGGGGATAGGAAAGGTAGCAGAATACAACAGTCACTAATATGCCATTATGTAAAAATGTGAGTGTGTAACCGATGTGATTCTGCAATTTGTATTTGGGGTAAAAATGGGAGTTCATAACCCAATTGAGTCAAACGTATGAAAGATGATATATCATGAGCTTTGTAATGTTTTGAACAACCAATAAAAAAATATATTAAAAAAAAAAAAGAAATAGCCATGAGTAGACTGGGGTTGTGGCTCAGTGGTAGAGCACTTGCCTAGCATGTGTGAGGCCTTGGGTTCGATCCTCAGCACCACATATGAATAAGCAGATAAAGTGAAAAATCCATTGACAACTAAAAACTATTAAAGAAAGAAACAGCTATGAGCTGTGTGCAGTGTGCATCAGCTTTCGAGGCTGAGACAGGAGGATCACAAATTCTAAGCCAGCCTCAGCAAAAGCAAGGTGCCAAGCAACTCAAATGAGACCTTGTCTCTAAAAATATATATATATAAAAAAATAGGGCTAGGGATGTGGCTCAGTGGATGAGTGCCCTTGAGTTCAATCCTGGTACTCACCCCCTACCAAAAAAAAAAAAAAGAAAGAAAGAAAGAAACAGCCATGATTTGGATTCAAGTTGTATTAGAGTTCTCCAGAAAAATACAACCAGTAGGAAAAATATATGTGATTGATTATAAGAAATTGACTCATGCAATTATTGGAAACTGGCTAGTCTCAAGATTTTCAGGGTGAGTCAGCAAGTTGGAGACCTGGGGAAGCTGATGATGTAGTGTGAGTCCAAAGGTATAAAAAAAGTATGTCCTAGTTGAAAGGCAGATAGGAAGAAAGAAGAAATCTCTTTTACCATGGAGATGGTCCATCTTTTTGTTTTATTCAAGCTTTCAACTGATTGGACAAAGTCTATGTGCATTATTGAGGGATTTCCTCAGTCTGTCAATTTAAATGTTAATTTTATCTTCAATAACCCTCCCAGAAATACCTAGAATAATGTTTGATCAATAATGTCCAGCCAAGTTTGACAATTACCACACAAAATGGGTAATTCTTATTTATTTATTTGGTATGAGGGATTGAACCCAGGGCCGTCAACCATTGAGCCACACCCCAGCCCTTTTTTGTATTTTATTTAGAACCTGGGTCTCATTGAGTTGCTTAGAGCCTTACTAAATTGCTGAGGCTGGCTTTGAACTTGTTCTCTTGCCTCAGCCTCCCAAGTCACTGGGATTACAAATGTACACCACTGTGCTCGGCAGTAATTCTTATTTTTTTTTTTTTTTGCTGAGGGGTGGGGCAGGGGAATTGAACCCAGGGCCTTGTGCTTATGAGAAAAGCACTCTACCAACTGAGCTATACTCCTAGCCCCATCAATTCGTATTTTTAAAAATTACTTTGTGACCTTTTCTTTTATTATCAAATATAAAAATATCAAGGAGCATTTAAAAAATGTGGATGAACAAAATCGAATTTTATTGATAGTCACAAAAGATATGGTTGAGCCTGTCTAGGTTTTACAAGTGAAAAATTTAAGATGAATTTTGGAAGATGAGCTTCATTGGGAGAGGGTAGTTATGATAGTTGTCCCATATCAATTCATCATTTTCATCTCCTAAAAGTTAACTTACCAACCATAATACTTGAAGTATATTTGTATTTGTTAAAAATAAAGCCGGGTGTGGTGGCCACTCCTGTAATCCCAGCAGCTCAGGAGGCTGAGACAGGAGGATTGTGAGTTCAAAGCCAGCCTCAGCAATGATGAGGCGCTAAGCAACTCAGTGAGACCCTGTCTCTAAATAAAATACAAAATAGGGCTGTGGATGTTGCTCAGTGGTTGAATGCCCCTGAGTTGAATTCCCAGTATCAAAAATAAAATAAAGCACTCTCCTTACACTTTAGGGGGGGTAAAAAATCAGGCTTTTTTTTTTTTTGGATTGGCAAAATTTCATTGGCCATGAGTATATTGCTTCAGTCAAGGCAAGGAAGCTCTTCCTGTTATACAATACATTTGTTCTAGGGCTTATAGGACCTCGAATTACCCATTCATTTAAATTGATTTTGGTTTGCTTTGGTATTCTAGTGAAATAAAAACAAGGTAGTAAAGTAGGAATGCATAAGAATCTAAGTTGAGAAGTTTCATGAATAATTGGATAACTTTACAAGTTAGTTTCCTGTTGCAGACAATGATGTAGATCTCCAAAATAATTACAAAGCTGAGTCCTTTATAAAGGATTTATTGGGTGTATTTGCTTCTATTGAAACCTCGGTAAAAAACAAAATCACTTTATTACCTCTTTCTGTATTCTTTTTTTTTTAATATTTATTCTTCAGTTTTCGGTGGACACGACATCTTTATTTTTATGTGGTGCTGAGGATTGAACCCAACGCCCTGCTCATGCCAGGCGAGAGCGTTACCGCTTGAGCCACATCCCAAGCCCTTTCTGTATTCTTATTAGTCTTTATTTTTTAAATTCAGTTCTATTGGAAATTATTTTCTTTTGCCTTCCTTTAAATGCTGATCTAAAATGTTTTAAGAAGCAAGTAAACCTGTCAAGCAATATAGCTATCTGGAAATTTTTGCCCTCAACTATTAGAGTTTTTGGCATGTAATGTAAGTTGTGTTATGGTAATATTCTAGAAGTTTAAATCATTGCAATTATTAACAGTCTTAAAGCATTATTTTTGAGATATTTTAAAATATGCCTTGCCCCAGCAACATTGTGGTTATAATAAATGTTTAATAATTCAAATCCTTATTTTTGAAAAGTACATCATAAATGAATACAATTACAAATCTTCATCACACATAAATACAGAACTTGTTTTATACTTAAATTGTATTTTAATTTTAGCTGGGTAGTTAAGATTTCAGGCTTTTTTTTTTAAAAAAGTTACGTTTAGTTGTCTGGACTCGGGTAACAAAGTACATCTAAACCATAGCATCCTGTCCACATTTATAGTATTTTCCTTTTAGCTGCTTTACTTGCCTTTATAGCACGTGTGATATTTTGTATTCATTTGTTTTTGGTGTTCACTAGAACATAAGTACCATGAGAGCAGAGCCTTTGTTTCTTGCTTTATCGCCAGTGTGTAAAATGATGTACTTCATAAATGTTTGGGGGTTAATTAATGTGTCAGTGTTTAAGAGAGAATAGGGATAAAGAAAGATAATGGGATCACTATGTATCTGGAAAATCTTTAATGTCTCACTAAGTTGAATTTTGGGTAATTGGAAGTCACTTAGGGTTTTTATAATAATGAAGTGGAATGATGAAAGCCATGTTTTAGGTGAGTTTGGTTGTAAAATTCAGAATAGATTGCATTGTGGCAGACACCAAAGACAAGGATTATTATAGGATACCATGCTTTCCTGATGTTCCTGTTACCAAATTTGCTTCTCCTTCTTGGCAGATAATGAGGTTATCTTGTACCATCATATATTTGGAGATGGTGTTGTCCTGCAGGTTTTGAGAGTAGTGTTCCCATGTAACACTGCCTTTTTCCTAAATCCTGTGTTGGTTCTTCTCTGTATCTCTTCCTGCCTATCATCTTCTCCCCAGCTGTAATCCTGGAGAAAAGGAATCATAACACCTCAGCATACTTCCTTTAGGAAAGTGAGAGATTGTTGTGTTTTTTGTTTATTTTTGTTTATATTTGTTTTTTGTTTTTATATATCTCTCCTCTTGGCTTATCTATATTTGGCAGTGGCTATCTTCCTCTATAAGGACAGGCTCTTTTCAGTATGCCAACTCACACATGCATAGATCTCTCTGGTTTGTGATAATCTGTCTCTCCCCTGACTTCCTCAGATTTGGGGGTGTAAAGGCTTCTTGCTCTGACTATTCCCTAGCTGCTTCCGTATTTTTAATTGGTTTTCCTTAACTCAACCCTACCTTTGTAATGGTCCCTTAGTTGAATCATTTAGATATATATACTCCAGAAGTCTGATGGTTTAAGCAGAATGTAAGCACTCTTTTTCTTTCTGTATCTGCTTTTCCACAGAAGTATAGTAGAGACCATGTAGCAATAAAAATCACTTTCATATTATGTTGCTTGGGTTTTGGTTTTGAAACTGATAAATGGTTAAATTTGCCAGATTAGAAAAATGGAAAAAAGGCAAGAAGGCAGATAAAAGACACCTAGACTTGCCTTCTTTTCTACAAGATAGAACTAGAACAACAGGTATGTGGCTAAATGTCAAGGTAGATGGCTGTGGGAGAGCACTGGAATTCAACAGTGGAAAAAGCAGACAGTAGAACCCAGAGATTTTGAATAATAGAATTGCAAGTGAAACAGTGCCTATTGAGTGGCAGCAGGTCAGAGGAGGGGAAGGGTTGTAAGTGAAAGAGTGTCCCATTGAATTTCTGACATTGTGCAGACAAACGCAGTCTAAACAGACAAGAGACCTGGCACCCCAGTGAATCCTCTGTAGAGGAACTTGTGTCATCTCCCAGTGAACTTGTATCATCTTCCAGCACAGATTTCTGGGTCTCCTTCGTCCCCACCTTCAGAGGTGTTCAGAACTGTGCTGCAGCACTGAGAATTTGCTATACCCTGAGTGTGCAGCCTGAAACACTACCAAGTGCTCATGGTGTGCTAGCTTATTTCAGCATGTAAAGCTGGTGAGAGAGATTTTCACCTATTTTTAGCACAAATCACTTACCTGGCAGACACTATAACTGAAAGGATTGGGGAGTGGGTGAAAATCTTCTGGTCACTCTGTCCATGGGATACTTGGGAAGAAGCTTTAAGTAGTCACTTAATTGTAAATAGGGGCTATTTACAATTGACATAGTATAATCTGACTTGCTCCCTATTTAAGCATCTTGATAAGGAGGGAATTTTCATTTTTGTGTATTTTGTTCTTTTTGTTTTAAATATTTTTTGTTTTCCCTTTTTATTTTTTAACTTTTGTTTTCTTTTTCCTTTTTTCCCCCTATTTTTTCTCTTGTTCTTATTGGTGCTATTATTCATATTTATTTTATATTTTTGGCTATTTTTATTTTTATTTTTTGCAGTACAGGGAATCGAGCCTGGGACCTTGTGCACATTGGGTAGGTGCTCTATCACTGGAACTATACTCCCAGTCCAGCTGAGGAATTGAACCCAACTCTAGCCACAGTTGAACCCAACTCTAGCCACAATCTTGGTGGATACTACAACTTAAAAAGAATATAAGGGCCAAAAGCTCCTGGCCAATGACCTGCCTTCAAGTGGAGGTCTGAAGTCCCCTTCCTGGATGGACATTCCCATAGTAACAGCAGAGAGGAATAGTACACCCGATGTGGACACCACACCTACAGACCTCTGTATCGGTCACACCCATATGTCAGATTGTGCATTCCTGGCAAGACTGAATGTGAGTGCCAGGGAGGGGAAGCTGTGATCTTCGTCCCTGACTCTCCCCATGAAATGGAGGAACTTCAGGCCCTTCACCATAACTGGAGTAATCAACCTCAGAATTGCTTTTGTGTAATAGAGCCAATATCAACAGTGCCTATAGAAACTTCCACCACCTAGTAGGGGTTTCCAGAGGGTGTACCTCCATGTCTCCACTTACTCTGCTGCCTACACATGAGAGGGTTCCCACTTTTGTGAGTAGCTACCTCAGACTTCAGTATGGCATGCACTGTGTCTAGACCCACTAATCATAGCCCAAGAAGCCACAGAGAGAATGCATTATTGAATTGGAGGTAAACTCAATATTATACAATAATTTGACACCACAGGGCATATCATGAATTGAAAGCCACTAAGAAGGACATCACATAAAAGTGGAAGAGAGTCCAATTCAATAGATTGGTAAATCTCAACCTAGAAACATGAAATATGATGAAATGTAATAGAATACCTCCAAAAGTTCATAACTCTTTAGTAACTGATTCCAAAGATATCAAAGTGGATGAAATGCCACACAAAGAATCTTTCAGGAGAACAATGTTAAAAGCAGTATGTGACATAAAAGGATAAACAGCTGGATGAATTAACAAAACAATTCAAGAAAGATCTGAAAAGTTCAATGTCAGAAAATTCAGTTGGAATTCTCACTATTAGAATGGATAAAATAGAAGAAAGAATAACATATAAAGATGAAACTTTTGAAATGTTAGTAGAGAAAGAAAATTGAGTAGGTATGACGTTGCCATACAAGAGATTTAGGACATCACCACAAGACAAAATATCTGGCTCTTTGGCATACCCGAGGGAGAAGAGCTACAGGTTGGGGGCATAAAAAAACCAATTTAATGAGCCGGGCGCCTTGGCGCATGCCTGTAATCGCAGCAGCTGAGACAGGAGGATCATGAGTTCAAAGCCAACCTCAGCAAAAGCAAGGCAGTAAGCAACTCACTGAGACCCTGTCCCTAAGTAAAATACAAAATAGGGCTGGGGATGTGACTCAGTGGCCGAATGCCCCTGTTTAATGAAATTTATTTCCCAGATCCTGCAAAAGACATGGGCATCTATATACATGATGCATATAGAACCCCAAAGAGATGTTGTGAAAGGAACTTTTCCATGATATGTTGTAGTTAAATTGTCAAACATATTGCATCAAGAAAACAATATTAAATGTGGCAAGAGAGAAGTGTCAAGATACATTTAAAGATACATTTAGACTAACTGAATATTTCTCAGAAGGAACTCTATTAAAGGACAGGAGGGCGTGGATCCATGTATTTGAAGTCACGAAAGACAAAAGAAAAAAAAATGCCAGCCAAGAGTACAGTGTTCACCAAGGCTATCCTTTAGAATTGACAGAGAAGTAAAGACCTTCCAAGATAACCATGAAGAAAGGGAATTCTTGACTACTGGACCAAATTACAAAACATAATTAAGGTAAGCCCACAAAAAAAGGAAGAAAAATTATAGGAACATGTAAAAGAACAAGTCTAACTAGAAGAGAATAGATATGCAAATGAGAAATAAGGAAGCATCAAACATCATTGTTATAACCATTAAGTGTGTAAGATGAATGAGATGAAAAAATGAACAGAATATTCAAAACAACCAGAAGATAAACAAACACTATTAGAGATAGATTCTGACTTCAGTACCCTACTCATCAATGGATGGGTCATCCAGGAAAAAAAAAAAATCAAAGAAATATTAGTTAGATAATATTTCTGATCAAATGGACATTGTAGACATCTATAGAATATTCTACCCAAGAGCTGCAGGATACATAGTTATTTTCATCAATGTATGAGTCTTTCTCAAATAGACCATATATTAAGTCACAAAACTAGTCTTAACCAACTCAAAACAATTGAATTAGTGATGTATCTGAATACAAAATCAACTTAGGAAAATCAGATTTTCTGAACATTAAGGAGTTCATTGAGAAATTAGAAAAATAATCTTACTACAGACAAAACAAACCTGGAAAGAAACTGAAGAAGCCATTACAATATGGAAAGACAGACCCTCCTCCATGTTTGTGTACTGGGAGAATTAGTTTTAAATGGCCACACTAGTCAACCTTTGGTGTGGCCCTTTTTTTTTTTTTTTTCTGGGGCGGGGGGGGGCTGGGTATTGAACTTAGGGGCACTCAACCACTGAGCCACATCCACAGGGTCTCATAAATTACTTAGTGCTTCACTTTTGCTGAGGCTGGCATTAAACTCTCAGTCCTACTGTTTTAGCCTCCCAAGCAACTGGTATTACAGGCATGAACTACTGTGCCTGGCTGCGTTATGGTTTTCTATGTGTAGAATCATCAACAAACAGGGATAATTTGACTTCCTTAATTTTTTAACAATTTTTTTCCTTTAGTTGTCAATTGACCTTTATTTATTTATATGCGATGCTGAGAATTGAACCCAGTGCTTTACACATGCTTGTAAGCACTCTACCACAGAGCCACAATCCTAGCCCTTCCTTTACTATTTGTATTTTTTTAAGTATTTTTAGATAGACACAATATCTTTATTTTTTTATGTGGTGCTGAGGATCAAACCCAGTGCTTCACATGTGCTAGGTAAGCACTCTACCACTGAGCTACAACCCCAGTCCTATTTGTATGTTTTTATTTCTTGCCTAATTGCTCTGGCTAAAATGTTAAGTACTGCTTTTTTATAAGAGTGCTGAGTAAGCAACTATGTCTCATTCTCGGATTTAGAGGGAATTATTTCAGTATTTTCCAATTCAATGTTTTCATATATATTTGTTTTGTCATATATATAGCCTTTGCCCTGTCTCAGGAAACTACTGAAGGTGAGTACTCATTCAAAATGAGAATAAGTCAAGATAACTTGTAACTTTGAAGATTGAAATGAATTGTTTAAATGAAAGAAAAAGGCAAGAGAATGGAAACTATAAGTAAAGAGGAAAAGAAATGCATACTCTGAGTTTAGATAGGTTGGAGAATTGGATAATATCCTGTTTCTTAACATCATCAGTAAAGGAATTAATAGATTTAGTTGTAAATTTTACAGTATCAAAGCAATGGTTTCCTGAAAGACCTTTTGAAAATGTTATGAAAAGGATCTTTTGCAATAGATACATGTTTCAATTGAAGATTTCTTACAGTCTTCTTCTGTTACTATAACAAAATGTCTGAGATAATAAACTATTTTTGGCTTACAGTTGTAATGCTTCTGGTTGGTTTGCTCCACAAACACATCATGGTGGGGAACATATGACAGAGCAGAGATGGGCTACAGTCTCCAGCTATGAGACCTAGACTAAGGGCTGGGCTCCCATTTTGCTCATGTAAAACAAGGCTCCATGATAAAATTGAAGATTACTTCCAATTTGTAGTTCTATGCTTTTTAGTAGTGTTTAATAACAGTATTAAAATTGACAAAATTTAAGCCTTAAGCCTTGTTTTTTAATGCAAGGAAACATTTATGATAAAATGTTAAGTAACAAAAACAACACACATGTACACATTGTATTTAAAAGATGGTCTCTCAACTTTATTTTTTTAAAAAAGTGAAAATGAAAAGATACCCATAATGGGACTCTATGAGCTTATTGATAACTCCCCTGCCCTTCCAGTTTTCCTTAATTTATTATTTTGCCTTTCACCTATTGGTTGTAGAAAAATTTAAAGAAAAAGAATCTCTATGATAATCCATAAACATGACCAAATTAAAGTTATGTTAATTGTATCTTATGTCAATGGCATCATGTGGTCACTGTATGAGGCAAATTTTTTGGTGGGGGAGGGGCGGTGCTGGAGATTGAACTTGGGCAGTCAACTCCTAAGCCACATCCCAGCCCTATTTTGTATTTTATTTAAAGACAGGGTCTCATTGAGTTGCTTAGTGTCTGGCTGTTGCTGAGGCTGGCTTAGAACTCATGAGCCTCTTGACTCTGCTTCCTTAGCTACTAGGATTACAGGTGTGCCCTGCTGCATCCAGCTGAGGCAAATCTTTTTTAAAGTTTTCTGTATTACTATAAGCCATCGACATTTTTTCCTTATGCATGACAATAGAATGTATTCTTTTGACATACATTTATGGATGTTATGGTTTGGATGTGAGGTGTACCCCAAGAGCTCATGTGTGGACAATGCAAGAAGGTTCAGAGAAGAAATGATTGGATTATGAGAGCCTTGATCCAATCAGTGAATTAATCACCAATGGGGCACCCTTCATACACTAGGAAGTTTATTCAGAAGTGTTCAGGCTGCTGCAGCCAGGGTCCCTGGAGCCATGGCTACCACTCCAGATGGCAGCAGACCATGGTGTCAAACATGTGGTGCTAGTTCTGCAGGAAAGCTGGATGCTGGAGTTAGTGGGTTATAGAAGCTTCCACCAAGATTTCAAAGGATGGCCTGGAAAGCCAGGCAAAGTGCAGCAAGGTTGGAGTTTCTGTGGGTAGCCCCCAAGAGGGTTAGGCATGGAGATGTGTGGAGGAAGCCAAAGCTCTGATGGAGACCCCTGAAGATTAAGAAATGCCAGTAACGTCGAGTATCATCCTAGGAAAGCTGTAGGATCAAGAAGATAATCAGGCCATTTGGGCTGCAACCAACAAGGCCAGAGGGGTAATCTATACAAGTTATTTGAAGAGGACATCATGCCATATGCTCCAGATGCCAGATAGAACTATAGGACTTGTTTGCCCAGCTGGATTTCAGCCTTGCTTTGGTCCCTTCCTTTCTCTCTATGCCTCTGTTTTTCTAAGTGTTTATTTTGTACCTTTATATATTGGAAACTTGTAAATAGCTTGATTTTTGCAGGAATTCAGGATGCAAGTTTGCCTTGAGTCTCAGAGGAAACTTTGGACTTGAACTCTGAGCAGTCTTGGAACTGCTGAGACTATGGGGACTCTTGGGGATGGACTAAATGTATTTTGCTTTGTCAGAAGATTGTGAGCTTTTGGGGGCAGGGGTGGAATGTTATAGTTTGTATGTGAGGTGTACCCCGAAAGCTTATGCGAGACAATTCTAAAAGGTTTAGAGAGGAAATGATTAGGTTGTGAGAATCTTAACCCAATCAGTGAATTAATCACCTGATGGGATTGAGTCGTAATTGAAGGCAGATGGGTGTGGCTAGATGAAGTAGTGGAGGTCTCTCTCTGCTTCCTCCTGATCATGTGAGCTGCCTCCCTCCTCCACACTCTTCTATGATGTTCAGCTTCACCTGGTGTCCTGAGGAATGGAGCTGTCTGCATATGGACTGAAAACTCAAACTGTGAGCCCTCAAATAAACCTTTCCTCCTCCACAATTATTCTGTTTGGGTCTTTTAGTCACAGCAGTAAAAAAAGTTGACTAAAACAATAGAGTATAGCATTGCCTTCTTTTAGAAAAGAGTCCCCACAGTCTCAACAGTTCCAAGATTGCTCAAAGTTCAAGTCCAAAGTCTCCTCTGAGACTCAGGGCAAACTTGCATCCTGAGTTCCTATAAAAATCAATTGTTTAAAGAATCAGCATAAATCCAAAAGACTTCTATTAAAGAGAGGAAGGAAACATTAAAAGAACAACCTGGATCTGGTACTAATTATTTTACATGGTTATCTCACATAGATATTAAAGAACTTTTAGGAGATTATCTATTCTGTTTGACAAAGATCTTCAAGATAAATGACTTTTTCTTTTCTCTAAAAGTTTACATACCTTGGCTAGATGTGGTGTTGCACACTTGTGTTCCTAGCATTCCAGAGGATAGGTCAGGAGTATCAGAAAAGTGCAAGGCCAGCATTAACAACTTAGCAAGATCTTGCCTATAAATTTAAAAAGGAAGCAGTGGATGTGAAGTGCCCTTGGGATCAATCCCCAGTACCAAAACAAATAAAAGGTGACATTCAGATGAATACGTATGTCATGATCCTACTTATATTAACAAAAAAGAAAACCCTTATGTCTAGAAAAATTCTGGGAAGCTACATAAAAGTATTTACAGTAGTAACTCTAATAAATGTTGAAGATTCGGGAAAAAAATGTTTTATATTTTTTCATATTTAAAAAAATAGAACAGGGGCTGGGGTTGTATCTCAGCAGCAGAGCGCTCACCTAGCACGTGTGAGACCTTGGATTCGATCCTCAGCACCACATAAAAATAAATAAAGATAGTGTCCAACTAAAAGCTAAATATTAAAAAAAAAATAAAAAAGAACAGGTATTAGCCTAATGTGTATATGACTTTCAGGAGAAGGAAAGGAGGCTTTGAAGATCTAAAAGAACCAGTATTTTTCTTATAATTTGCTTTATCTGAGAAGAAAACAGTAGTGTGCAAGAGGGCAGTTTTCTCAGTATAGATAGCCCCATAAGGTTTTCTCTTAATGAGAAAGAACATCTTTTAAGTTGTATTTGCTTTTTGTATCTAGTATACCTTTTTTTTCTGTTTTTATTTTAGTTGCAGATGGACACAATACTTTTATTTTTATGTGATGCTAAGAATTGAACTCAGTGCCTCATATTCTAGGCAAGCACTTTACCACTGAGCTACAACTGCAGCCCCTACTGTACCATTTTTTTGACATTGCACAGATAATGCAATTTCAATGATTCAGGTTTGTTGTGCAATGTAAGATTTTTTCATTTATTACTGTTTGAAATATAAAAAAATGTGTTTTGCATCTGAATAAAATGCCCTGAAATATAAGAGATCTGGATTTCTACATGGTACTATATCTTAAAGACAACTCAAAAGCACAAAGGTAACCCAAATATAGAGAAGGTTGTATG